ATTTCAAATGCCAATATATTGACTTTAATTCGAACTCTAATAGACTGAAAATATGTTAAACATTAATTTCAATTTTTTTTTTTGGTAAATTAACTAGTCATTTAATTTAAAGTTTATTATCTCGAAATGTATGCATAGAAGGACTTTTGCAAATTGTGCTATTACAATTTTCAACGAGATTTCCTGCTACAAATTCATTAAATCCCTCTTGAGACTTCAGACTTAAGCGTCTTAAACCAAAAACGATTTATAGAAAATCCAATTTGTGTGTTGGTGTTGGTTGATTTTTCTTTCAAGTGAAATAAATTTTTAAATGGAAGAGGATAGAAAAGTGATATTTTAAGCTTGTACACATGGGGTATTCCATGTGAAGCGGACAGGCAAAAATACTAATATTTTCGTTTCTGGCAAACGTCATCCACCTACGAAAACTTTTTACTATAAAAATGTGGTTAACGAGTTCAATTGCTGTTATTATACATATAATAAAATTGTAACAGGTCGATGTCTGTACATTGTAGATATTAAAGAACAACTAATATGGGGGGTCTTTATTATAGCAATAGAAGCCAAATCAACCATTTTAAAAATTTTTGTCTGTCTGTCCGTCTATCTGCATGTTTGCACGCGCATCACTCGAAAATGAATGCAGGGAGATGAATGCGGTTTTCACTCTCTACTCTCTTCGAACTACAGAGTAAGGGTACAGAACACATTATTTTCGAATGGGATACACTTGCTAGGCGCAAACTAGCTCAGTTGGGTGGCGTTATATTTAATCCATTTGAAATTTGGAACAAAACGCGCTAGATTAGTTTAGAGGTCGCGATACATATGGCCCATAAAAATAATAATAATAATACTTCATTTATCTTAATATTTTTTAAATCTATTTTTTTTTTTTAAATATTGTATATTCTTTAACAAAACCCGTAAAAATCCAAGTTGCAATCTTTATGCAACATTTTAAAAAAAATCAACAAACTTTCGTAAAAATTTCGAGCTTTTTAATTCGATTTTTGGAAATATGTATTTTGAGTATGCAATTTTGCAGCTTGGTAAAACAAAGTGTAAGTTTAAATTGGCTGATTTTTGGATTTTTTTTTTATTAAGGATATCAGTCATTTTCTTCCATACAAAGTGTGTTCGACGATTTTTTTATATGACGAAAATGAGCAACGCTTTTAACAAAATTAATTATTAAAATCAACGGCATTTTGTAGCCGCATAAAACTTGCAATTTATTACGACAAATAGGGCTACCAAACTGCATACCCGAAATATTTCTAAAAAATCGAATGAAATAGCTCGAAATTTTTACGAAAGTTGGATGATTTTTTTAATGTTACACAAGGATTGAAGCTTAAATTTATGTGTGTTTGTTAAAGAATGTACTATATTTTTATAAACGAATAATTAAAATTAAAAAATATTAAGATAAATGGTCAAATCTTTCCAATATGTGGGTGTCGTAAAGTTATGATAAGAACTATAGTAAAATTATAACCAATTGAATGACTTGTATTGATTTTCGTGGTTTAAAGATCGAACTTTGTAAATAAGTGTATATATGTGCTCGTACATATGTATGTTTGTAAATATAGTAAAATAGTGCAATCTTTATGGAAAACAAACAAATTTTCCAAGTATGGAATAAAATCACACACACACACATATTTCATCTAACATTCGTTGCTGGCCTTGTTCGCCGGAGTATTGCAATTTCCTTGCAAATTACATTAGTTGCTTCTATCTGCATATACATACCCGTACATATGTATGTACAAATGTACATAAACAGACTTATCCCATCAACCGTCAACGTCATTCGTATACTAGGCCAATATACTCAATACTGTGTTGCAGAGCTGTTGTTATTGTTGCAACAAACATACATACTTACTTACATACATACATACATACAGCTTCTCACATTTTCCCGTTTTTGATGTAAATAGAAAGCAATTTCACTTGTACCGATGAGAAGTGGCAAATCAAGGTGTAACTTCATTTATCACGCTTGTCGCGATAAGCTACAAATCAGCTCAAAAGTTTGTACCGTTAATGCACTGTGGAACAATTGAATTTGTGTGCCTCGCAGCGGAATGTAGCTAACTGCAATGGCTTCCAACTAACGTTCTTACATCCCAATAAACAGTTTTGTTAAATCTCAAACTAAAAGGCACTTTTTTAATATGAAATTTTGCTTTATTTTCAAATTGAGAAATGCTGAATTCTCAACTTTTTCTCAAACGTGAGCGGAGCGGAACGAAATGAAATCCAGTTGCTCTCATTGAAATATTGTATAGTGTTGCCAATGATACATGTAAGAGAAACACAGTTTTTAACCGACTTCCAAAAAAGGAGGAGGAATATATATATTTTTTATTTTTTTTTTGTTTATGTATGTTACCGCATAACTTTGGACCACGTCACCGATTTCGATAATTCTCGTCGGAAAGGTAGTGTCTCAGAGGTGGTCCCATACTAATCTGGTTAAGATCCGATCAGCGGATCATGAGATATATATATATATATTTTTTTTATATGGGAGTTGAAGTCGGTTTTTTTTTTGCTAAAAATTACTAGTTATAGGAAAGGAATTTTTATTTATGCAGTTTAACAGTTTATTTAATAGCTTATTTATTAAGTTAGTTTAACAAAGAAAAATACGATTGATGTAAAAATTTAGTTGCATAGTTTTTTTTTTGAAATTAGACGAATTGCGTATAACAGCGACCGCGTGGTCGAACAGCCATTTTGCGACAGATGTAGCAGACTACCGATGCAAGAATGATAGAATACAAAATTGCGCCCATCAGAGAGGATTTTTGAGAATAACATTTGTGTGACATCACACTGCTGAAATTGCGATTTATGGAAGGTATAAAAAGGTTAAAAAAAAAACGCAGCAAAAGCATGCGAGGAAATTTTTGATGTATGGGATGTGTATGCTGTGTGTAAGCGCTGGATTCAGAAGTACATAATTTACTTGATTCGTTTGCGGAAATTTTGCTGTCCAAAATGGTCTGCTCTCGCAGCCCTACCCTGAGCCGTTCATTTCAGCTATTTTCCAAGCCATAATGGAGGCTCTAAGCGAACTTCGAAAGGATTTAAAAGGTAAAGAGGTGGTTATCATTAATGACAGCAATCAAAGCTGCGAGTTCCGTCACAATGAAATCCAAACTTGTGCTGGTCTGCCGCCAGTCTATGCAAGACAGTACTGCCGCCAATTTATGCAAGATAATAGACTACAACCTACTTGGCGTAGGGGAGATCAACAAAAGTTTCGTGGCCTATATTCTCTAAAGAGGCAGGATATATTTTACACTATTGGTACCTTAATAGGCTACTGCTTTATAAGAAAATACGCAGACCGGCTCGAAGTGGCTTAGCATGAGTGCTGCAGATTGCCACTTCTATGAGGAGGCAAAGATATTTCTCCTTCTTCTCTGTAACTGTCCGGCATTATCGATTATGTAGAGTCTACTTTCTTTAGTGACCTTGACGAGTTCGGAGATATAAACGTTCGTTCAACACGATTTCAAGCTTTTCACTTGTAAGCAAAATAAAATTTGTCTGAAATGAATCCTAATGTAACGTTGTTCATCAAAGGCTGAAATATATCATAGCTATTTAAATTCCTAAGTAAAAATTTACACTTTTCTAATAAAAGCTATCATTTCCACACACACACATCGCATCCACTAATAGCCACAAAATTTTCAATAACCTCTACGAGCATTTAACCATAGAAAATCAGAAAAGGTTTCACCTTGAAAGTAACTCACGGCTATTGCTTGTCAAAGTAAAAACTCGCAAATTACATTTGAACCAAACCACACTTCAAAAAATCTGCTTACAATAAGTGGCATGCATGCTAAAGCTGCTCATAGGTATTAGTGTCAAAGTTGCAGGTGAATTTGCAACCGCCTGTAAATGTCGAATTTCGACAGTAACTATTCGTGCTGCACAAATTGAGCGCCCAAAGCAAATGGCACCAGTAACCATTTGCGTTTGACATAAATATGTATGTGCGTCTGTAGTACGAGTATACACATGTATTTAAAGAGTTGTGCATTCTCTAAAACAAAAACAAAAAACAATCTGTAATTTTTTTCCATCGGAAATATAAAATTTATCATATTTTAAAACTTTTGCCAATATATTTGGGAAAAATACTAAGATTTGCCTGAGCAGGACCGATTTGAAAATACCTCCAAAAATCGAGTATTTTATAAATAAAATTAGTATACACATTTTTATTTATTTTTTTTAAGTCTCCTCAGTTGATACACGAGTTTAAGTTTAAAAAGGTTCGACGTAAACTTTTGAGAAAAGGTGTTTCTTAAACTAAGTAAAAAAATTTGGAGGTATTATCAAATCTGTCCAACTTACGTAAATCTTAATATTTTCCGTAATATTTGTGCGTAAGTTTCTGAATATAGTAAATTTTATAATTCCGATGGAATAACTGCAAGTTTTTTTTTTTTTTTTTGGTGAGGCACTCTAATGTATATATGAGAACACATTCATACGTATATACACGTGGTATGTGACATGAGGCAAGTGTCAAGAGCCAACTCATACTAAACTGGACGCATGCACACATTCCTTAATAGTTGCCATACGCGTTAACCCCGAATGACTGAGTTTGTGTAAGAATATTTTAGAAGAAGAAATGTGTACCACAGCAGCTGGAAACAAAGTTTTGCTGTTGCTATTTGCCTACTACCTTTCGATTTTGCATCCTGCCTGCAACGCAAATTCAATTTATTATGCAACATAGCACTAATTTGTCAACAACATTTTCTAGTCAACTTAAAATGTAGACAAGCTAAATTTTAGGTAGATAGATAAACACATTTTTGGTTAATATATGTACGTATGTACAGTGTACATTTTCAAGCTGGCCAACATGCGAACATGCAACTCACAAGCTACCTACATAGCCAAATATAATTACATATGTATACTTGTTTTTTGCATTTCAGATTACTACAACAAGTTGCCGTTTGCACTATCCTTGCTGTCCTTGCCACCCCTCTCACTGATGTGCAGCACTTTGCGGTTGCACAGCTAATGAAGTTACAACCGAAAATCACTTTAAATACAGTTTTTTGTGAACATCGAAAAGTAGCCGCATTGCAAATTCAACGCCCACACTGATCACAGTTTTTTGGCCTCGGCTGCAGAGCAAGAAAACAGAAAATGACGGTACCAAATCAAAGTGAGTACACGAATATAGAGTTGTCCACGCTCGAGATAGCAAGCACCAATAAGACAGATACCATTTACTCTATCAAACCGGATTTTATAACGCAATGGTTAGTAAAGATTTCTCTGTTCACAATACCTTATTAACACATACATTTTTTTTTAATAACAATTTCGTCTTCTATTTCATCACTCTGACACACAAAGGCGACAAAAGAAAGAGCGCGAAAATATTTGCAAATCTATATTCAATCGTTTTGTCGAGCACACCGAGTGTAAGCGCCTCTTAGAGGCCGCTCAGCTCTATCATCCTTTCATTGGCGAGAACGGCGAGCTGAGCATGTGGAACTCTGATGGGGAAATGGACATGCTGATGGCCTACAATAATCGTAGCCTGAACCAGAGCCTGTTGGATGACTACACGAATGCTACTACACACGAGCCAACGCCATCGCAGGTTCTGCCACCTTTTGCGCTCTGGCAGAGCATACTGATCGCGTTGTGCTTGTCGATCTGCATCATTCTAACGATAGGCGGCAACGTGCTTGTGCTGCTCGCCTTCATTGTGGATCGAAATATTAGACAGCCGAGCAATTATTTTATTGCTTCATTGGCCGCAACGGATGTGCTAATTGGTAGGTTCGCGCAATTGCTTAATACCTATTCAATCGCAAGCATTAATCCACATTACTATTACAGGTTCGGTCTCAATGCCCTTCTACACCATATACGTGCTAATGGGCTACTGGGATTTGGGTCCGCTGTTGTGTGATCTTTGGTTGTCTGTCGACTACACAGTGTGTCTGGCATCGCAGTATACAGTGCTACTGATAACCATCGACCGTTATTGTTCGGTAAAGATCGCTGCCAAGTACCGTAGCTGGCGTACGAGAAAACGTGTAATCTATATGGTCACCATAACCTGGATCATACCAGCGCTTTTGTTTTTCATATCCATATTTGGCTGGGAGCATTTTACGGGTAAACGTGACCTCTTACCGGGCCAGTGTGCTGTGCAATTTCTCAAGGATCCCGTTTTCAATACAGCGCTTATTATTGGCTATTACTGGACTACACTTGTGGTGTTGTTCGTGCTGTATGGTGGTATATATCGCACCGCTTACGAAATGCAGAAACGTAGCGAGGCCAAACAGCGAAAAATGCAATCGATGGTGGCGCTGAGTGCGGGCGCCATGTCCGGCATGGCGGGCCATGCAGCAGGCATAGGTGTCATCGAAGAAAAGATATTGAAAACCCAGGTAGAGATCGGCGGCATAACGAGCAAGGATGGTAGCATTTGCAGTGGTGGTATTAAGCGTGGATCCGGCCAGATGAACCCCATGACGCAAGCAGAAGCCATAAACGGCACAGTAGCCGATGCCATCAATGAACAACGTCGCATTTCCGAATGCAAAACGGAAAACGGCAAGCGCGATGGCAATTCGGGTGAAACAGAAAAGAGTGAACGATCGAGTAGCCCGGCCTTCGATTCCGATGAGGAAAGTTCTGTCAATCAAACGCAGCAATTGGCTAATCAGCAAAAACTAGCAAATCTGCGTAAGCGCTCTTCAATTGGACTGGTGTTCGGCGCACAGGCGGCGTTGATAGCTACGCGTAGTAAAGGTAATTTAACACAGTGCTCCGCAAATTCCAAATCCAGTGAAACCATGGCCACAACGGCCACCGCAACATCCCCCAATCCGACACGCAGTGGCGTTCTGGTGCGTACTCAAAGCAAAGAAGAAGTGAGCATACATTCAGCTGCGAGTGCCGACCGACCCAAACGTACCTCGTGCACAACCCTTACCCAAATTGTTGAAACTGAGAGCCTACTTGATGAACAACACCGTACTGCACACCCACCGCCACGCTCCCGTTCCAGCACGATTGGCAAACTGCACGCTGAGTCGCCGCTCTCACCCGTGGATATTGCACCGATCGAGGTGCCACGTGACCAGGTGCAGCAGTGCTTGGTTCAAGCTATTCTCCCACCTCCAGAGCAATTCCAATGTCCCTCACCCTTTTCCGAGTATTCGGATAGACCGTTTGGTGACACCAGCAGTATTAGTGAGCTCAACATGACCTATAACCTGCTAACCAATTGCTCCGACTTGCGATTTATGGACGAAAGTTCTGTTATGCTTGCATCGCCTATCGCCAACGACAGCGTAAACAGCACTCTGCGAAGAGGTACTGCCGCCTATATTGATGCACAGCTCGGTTACGATCGTGCCAATCAAGTTGCCACCAATCCTAAGTTGCTGCAGCAGGCGCTGCAAAAGGCTGCGGCTGCTCAGCAACAACAGCAAAAGTCCAAGACCAAAGCTGCACGCCGCACTTCCCCACCTGGAGCCAACAATCCTCCCGCTCCACCCAATGGTAACAAAAGTTCCACAACCGAAAACGAAATAGATTATGTCGAAATTGAGCAACATCTTCTTGTTTCCTATACAGGCATGGAAGATTTTGTCAAGATGCGGCGAGAGAGTTGCATAGAAGCTATAAGCCTGCTTACTCTCAGCGATCAAGCCAAGTTGGGCGATGATACGGCGATCTCCAAAGATATACGACGCAGTTCGAGCCCACTGGAGACGCATGCGCGACGCACATCCACCACAACAGCTGCCGCAGCGCCCTCCGTAACCACCGTGACAATGTCAATGCAAAATCAAGTAACGACAACCGTTACTACTGCTGCGCCACCAGCGCAGCTGGAAAAAATCGATGAACGCGAAACATCCGAGGCGACTACAACCATCAACAAAAACGGCGCGTACACGGAAAAAAATTTAGGTGCCGATTCCACGACGCCTGCGCCAGTGAGTCTCACACAAAATGCAAACACTACCAGCACGGTATTGGTGGCAGGCGCCGGCATCAGCACGACCTGCGGCAGCAGTAGTAGCACTTCGAATACCAACAACAAGCCATCAAGTGTTAAATCGCACACACAAGCCGGTGGTGAAGTAACCAGCCGAAATTCAAGTAAACGAGACTTCATACAATCTATAGGCAAGCATTTCAAAAGTAAAAAGAAGTTGCCCATAATCATCGGTGGTGGACGACAGAAATCGAAATCAGAGAATCGAGCGCGCAAAGCGTTTCGTACGATCTCCTTCATACTCGGCTGTTTCGTGGCGTGTTGGACGCCATACCATGTGTTGGCGCTGGTGGAAGGCTTCTGTCGAAATCCACCCTGCACAAATGAGCATCTCTATATGTTTTCGTACTTTCTCTGCTATGCGAATAGTCCGATGAACCCATTTTGCTATGCGCTCGCGAATCAGCAATTCAAGAAGACTTTTACGCGCATACTCAAAGGAGACTTTCATATGACATAAGGGAATTGTGGCAAGGAAAACGGGAGCCGGTAGGGTGTATGGCCGGTAGGGGGTGGTGGGGGTGTTAGAAAGAAATGCAGCTCTCTTAAAATGCGTTTTCGAGTGACAAAGTGTATGTATGTATTTATGTGCTGTTTTTGATTTTTCTTAGAGATTACGAGTACTGAAATATATTTGACGACCACGGTTTGGTGTGACACCTAATGAGCCCTAGGAACTATGCACCAGTTGCCGGGGCTGTCAGATATGTTGAAATTTTTGTTTTGTAGAAAACGCTTTTAAAAGAGTTGCTCATCTCAGTTTTCGTGCAATTATGATACAAAATTGTAGCGTGCTAGAGGTATGAGCGATCAGAGTTTATGGTGCCAGAGAAAGGGTATCATGGATTAGCAAGAATGATAGAATACAAGATTGTGCCGATCAGAGAGGATTTTTGAGAATAACTTTTGTGTGACGTCACACTGGTGCAATTGCGAGAGAGAAATGCCAAAACGTGAGCAAGAATGGAAGAAGAAGAAAAAATTGTGCAAGGAAAAACGTAAACAAGTTGCACCTGTTTGACGTCATGCAAACAACGATTCTGTCAAATTCGTTAAGAGAGGAATAGCGGTCCGAGATCGGCGCAACCTTTGTATTCTCTCAATTGTGATGGATTAGTATAAGTTTGCACAGGAGAGCCATGTATGTATGTATATATATATATGTATGTACGCGTGTGTGCGAACAAAGGGAATGCGTGTTTCAGAAGGATCTTCTTAGTGCATTATAGTTGGCTGTATTGTGCGAGCGGCGCGTCTGATGAATTTTTACGTACATACACTGTAGGTGATATGTTATTGGAGCGTTGCTCGCATGCCACAAATTTACGCTTGTTTCTCATTAAATTTATTAGAATTTAAGAATTAAATAATTAAATAATTTAAATTTAAATGTAAAGAAAATATTTGTAGTTCTTAAAAATAGTTAATTAAAGAAATTCAGTTGATAAAATACAAACTAGTTGCTTAGTATTTAATTAACTTTTATGTAAGTGTTAGTGAAAACAATAATTTATTTAATAGAGTGAAATTATATAGTTGTATTAGCTATATTTAGTAAATATTTAACAAATTTTAGACAATAATTACCAAAGTAACGTAGAAAATATTGAGTTAAATAGCAACACAAACAAAATAGTGAGTAAATTATTTTAGTTTAGTAATAAAATATAAATATTTAGTAAGAGTATATTAGTTTCTATGAAAAAGAAAGCCAGAAGTTAAAGAAATAAAAAAAAATGTTAAACCAACTGACGATGTAGCAGAAGCCTTATGCAATTATGGGAATAGTTATTGTTATGATTACAAATATATATGTAGATATGTATAAAATAATAAAAATTAATATTAAATAATTAATAAAGAATAATAAGTATGTAGATATATTTATGGTATTCATGTGTGACACATGAATTATGTATAGTCGTAAATATGTTCATATGTAATGTGTAAGCTACATCTATGTACTTATAAATTTACTTAAAGTTCATTCGAAGGCATAATTATTAGAAACACATAAAAATATGCCGCAGAAGTGCAAATCATGCATATTGAAATAAATGCATAGTTATATACATACGTACATACTACATAGAGTGACTCAAACAAACGTTCACATATTGATTTTTTTTTTAATATTTAAGATGCAATGCGAATTAAAATTTGGTATTTATTTTTGTACAAAAATATTGTTAATACTATAATCAAAACCATACAACACCACGCGACAGTAAATTTTACACACAAACAATTTTATATATTCACGAAACCATGGGCCCAATATAGTAAAACTGCACTTTTAATTTTTCTCTCTGACATCAGGATTTTTATAAGGACTTTGAAATTTTAAAAATATAATTACTTCAAAAATTTATTAAAACAAAATTTAGTGCAATGTAGAAAACCAGTATGACTAACAAATTAAGGGGAATATTCTCTAGAATTTAGGTCCATGAAATTTTTTGGAGCATAAGGACGATTAGGTATTGTAAATGTGTTTTTAGCATTTTTTCATTGAATATCATTGAAATTTTGCAATAATTATTTTCCAAAAAAAATATATGTTAATTACTAATATGCACTCGACCACATCCTCAATTTTCGTTCTTCTAACTTTATTCGCTAAAAAAAATAAAACTAAACTAAAAGAACATTTTCAATATTTATTCGTCCTAGTGAATCAAAAAATTTTAATTTTTTTTTAATTCTACAGAGTTTTCTCTTTCATTTGGTACCCATACTGTTTTTCCACATTGAAATAAATTTTTTAAATAATTTTTGGAATTAATCATATCTCTGAAACTACAAAGTACTTGAAAAAAAAAAATCCTGACGTCAAGGAGGAAAACTAAAAACGCAGTTTTACTATATTTGGCCCATAGTTTCGTGAGTATATTGCTTGCTTCATGTGTTTCGAAATTTTGTTGTTTTTGTCGCACGATGCAAACAAAAATAGCACACTTTAAAAAACAGTTAGAAAAACTCAACAATCTCCTTTTAAAATATCGAACTTTCTAAACTGTGTTTTTAGAAAATTTTTGAGTATGCTGCGCACACAATTTTAGGTTTTATTTGAAGCAGTCAAGTATTCGCTTGGATTTTTAATATTTTGTTTCACTGCACAATGGTCCGAAACGGTAACCTAGAAGGAGAATATCACTTAACGAATATCTTTTGCATGAATATTTATAAAATTTAGTATTTAGGTATATTTTGATTTTTCGATTACAAAATTTATATATGTGAAATGTTCCAAATTCAAAATGTCGGATCCAATGTGGCTGACACTTTGTTCTAAAAATATTTTTTATTCTTGATACTTATCCAGTTATTAAAGTATCCACAGTAAAACTCGGGA